TTAATCTGAAGAGAGAAACGGGCAGGAGAACGAGAAAGCACTAGGCTTTTCGTTTTAGATGCGTTCACACATGCTGGTCACGTCGCACTCGGCTGCGAACCTCTCTAAGGAGCACTGGAGATCAATTTCAGAAGATGCTAATAAAACAAGGTCGTTTGCAAACAGCAACCTTCTCGATTTCACATCTCTTGCACCGATACCAACAGATACCAACATCACCTATTCAGCTCCTGACTATTCTATCCATGTACAACACAAGAAGATAGGGTACAGGACGCAGCCTCCTCGGACATCCCTGCAAACGTAGAATAGTTTCGACTTGACGCCATTGACTCTGAAACAGCGCCTGCGGTCAGAATACAGTGATTGGATGGCCCTTAGCAGCTGGCCATCAATCCCGTATGCACGAAGGCATGTAACTGTTGCGTGGGATCCGGTCATACGCTTTCTCTAGGTCCACTAAACACATGTACACCGGATTGGTGTGCTCCCATGATTTCTCAACAATCTGGCGCAGGGCAAATATATGGTTACAGGTGCTTCGATCGGGCCGGAAGGCGCGATGCTCTTCTTGGATCCTGTGGTCAACTATTTCACGGCACCTCCTTTCTAGCACTTCTGCATAGATACTTGAGAGGCTCAGTAACGTTATGCCCCAGTAGTTGGAGCATTCCTTGTGGTCTCCCTTCTTCAATACGGGTGTAGTAACTCCCGTTCTCCAGTCCGCTGGTGTCTTTCCGGCAGTCATCGGTGTTTGACAGACACCTGTTAGCCAGTACATGCGTTATTCGCCTAATGCCTTGAGCATCTCAGGGCGGATTTCGTCAATTCCAGCAGCTTTTCCATTTTTCAAGCTTTTCACAGCTTGTACAGTTTCATCTACAGATTAGTAATATCCGTACCCTTCTGCTCTACAGGCGAGTCTTCCTACTGTTGCGCGGGGTTAAGGAGTTCCTCGAAGTACTCCCTCTATCGCCGAAGAATGTCATCATGCTTGGCAAGTGGGTGTCCAGGTCTGTCCTTCAAGACTCTGAGACTGTCCTTCTTTTCACCTTGTTCCCGGCGGATGATCTGTCAAAATATATTGTTTGCCGTGTGGAAATTGGACTACAACATCTCACTGAACTTCTCCCAGGAATCAGCTTTGGCTTTTGTCACTGCTATGGCTGCCGCCTTGCGTGGCTCGACATATCGCACTCCAGTAGAAGGCTTTTTGTTTCCAAGCCATTTCTTGAACTCTGCTTTCTTTTCTTTAACTGCAAGTTGTACATCTCGTGTCCACCATGAAGATCTTTTTTGACCTCCAGGTGACAGGCCAACCCGTTTATATCCGCAGCATTCGGCGGCAGCCTCGAGTAGGCTTCTCTTAAACAGCTGCCACTAGGTTTCGACATCAGTTGTCATCACTGAAATCTGTTCAAACCGTCGTGCGATGTTGTTTGCAAATTTCGCCCTCGTGTCCACCAAAGACAGTGTTTCACATTTGATTCTCCGGTTGCTTCTGTCACCAAATCCTCGTATGGTACTCCATTTCTTACGGCGCAGCGTGCCAACAACAAGGTGATGATCGGTTGATAGTTCTGCGCCACTCTTTACGCGAACATCCATTACTGAGGGTCTTAGGTCAGACGATATGATTATAAAATCGATCATCGACTTCTGTGCAGAAGTTTCCCGGTACTAGGTGTACTGATGCACTTTTCGATGCTAGAAGAAGGTGTAGGTAATGGACAATGGACAATCCGTTGTTGGCGCAAAACCGCAACAACTTCATGCCGTTATTGTTGAGGTCGCTAAGGCCGTTTTTCCCAATCACGCCGTTCCACTTTTCAGCGGCTACTCCGACGTGTGCATTAAAATCGCCCATCAGTATGAGGATCTCTGTACACTGCACTTCCTCAAGGAAGGTCTCATATTCTCCCTCCAAATTAGATGCATAGACCTGTAGCAAAGTCATCGATTTAACCTGTGGTAGCTTCGGTCGGAGAATTGCCACTCTTCCGCTGACAGGCTTCCAATCGATTATTCTG